AAATTTAATTAATTAATTAATAATAAATAAATAAATAATAAATGATAAAGTTGTGAAAGAAATAGAAAGGAAGGCCGAGAGGAAAAGCGCGACAAATGGAAACAGCCAGCAGCAGCAGCAGCAGCAGCAGCAGCAGCACCTGCAGCAGCAGCAGCACCTGCAGCAGCAGCAGCAGCAGCAGCAGCAGCACCTGCAGCAGCAGCAGCAAGGTAGAGCAGGAGGGGCAGCCTGCCGTAGAGGCCAAGGGGCTCCGTGAGTGTGGATTTGTGTTTGTGGCTTTCTGCTGCTGCAGCAGCAGCAGCACAAAGAAAGAGAAACAGCGACAGCAAAAATGTTCCTGCTGCTTCTCCTGCTGCTGTTAGCTGCTGCTCCTCCAGCAGCCACAAGCCGCGGGCCTCAACCCTTGCTGCTGCTGCTGCTGCTGCTGCTGCTGCTGCTGCTGGGGGCGACGCGGAGACCTCAGTCAGGCGCAGCGCACTCCCGTAGCTGCTGCTGCTGCTGCTGCTGCTGCTGCTGCTGCTGCTGCTGGGGGCGTTGCAGAGGCGACGCAGCAGCTTCTCCTCTATATTTAAAGCTGCGTTGCCCAGCAGCAGCAAAGACCGGGCCACGCGCCGCAGCGCACGCCATATACGGTGCTGCTGCTGCTGCTGCTGCTGCTGCTGCTGCTGTTTGCTGCGCAGTGCTGCTGCTGCTTCTGCTGCTGCTGCTGCTGCGCCTGAGTCTCTCTCGAAACTCCTGTGCTGCAGCTGCAGTGCATGCACAGCCCCTCCAGGGGCCTGCTGCAGTTCGTGTCTATAAACTGTAAATTCTGCTGCTGCTGCTGCTGCTGCTGCTGCTGTTGCTGCTGTAGGTGCATCAGCAGCAGCTGCTGCAGCAGGGGGTGCAGCAACAGCATCTTCTGCTGCTGCAGCAGGAGCAGCAGCAGCAGCAAACGGCTCCCAGTCTAAAAGGTCTTCATATGTCTCGTGAGAAGAGAAGCAAGAATCAGACAACGGCTGCAGCGCAGCAGCAGCAGCAGCAGCAGCAGCAGAAGCTGCAGCAAAGTCTGGGGCCAGGGCAGCTTGCTGCATGCCTTGCTGCTGCTGCATGCCTTGCTGCTGCTGCATGCAACTTTGCTGCTGCTGCATGCAACTTTGCTGCTGCGAAAAGACATCAAATGGACTTTTTTGAATTTCAAAGTCGCAGCTGGAAAAAGGAAATGCTGCTGCTGCTGCTTCGGGTGTACGTACACCCGAAGCAGGCCACGGGCTCAGGGGGTCTGGCAAGGCCTCAGCGGTGGTCATAGTGGACCAGTGGTCCATGCTGCTGCTGCTGCTGCTGCTGCAGTTGCTGCTGCTGCTGCTGCTGCAGTTGCTGCTGCTGCTGCGCCTGAGCTGCCCGCCCTCGCAGTCCGCCTCCAGCTCCCAGAACTCCCAGGAGTCCTCGTCGGCAGCAGCAGCAGCAGCAGCTGCTGCTGCTGCTGCTGCTGCAGCAGGAGAGGAAGCAGCAGAGAAGGAGCTGCCGCTGCACGGGGACGCTGCTGCAGCAGCAGCAAGGGGAGCAGCAAAAGGGAAAGAAGAAAAGGACCTGCTGCAGGGGGCCCCCTGGGGGCCCCCCAGGGGGCTGGCGAGACAGCTGCTGCTGTGGGGGGCCCCCCGCTGGCGCTGCTCTGCAGCAGCAGCAGAACTGAAGAGCATTTTGGATTCCAAAGGACTTAATTTGAGATTTAATTTGAGTTTTAATTTTAAATTTAATTTAAAATTAATTTGAGATTTAATTCTCCAAAAGAACTGCAGAGAAAGGAGAAGACGCGGCGGCGGAGCTGTCAAGACACCCGAAAAGACGGCAGCAGCTGCGGCGGCGCCCGCGGGCGTCCGGCGCTGCCGCGTTAAATCATTTGGAGTTAATTAAAGCAATTTGGAGTTTATTTAAAACAAATAAACAAAAAAATTAAAATAAATAAACAAAAAAAGGATTGTTTTGCTTGTTTGGGGGCGGAGGCGCGCGGCGAGGCGCCGCGGCTGCCGCAATCGAGGAGGGGAGCCGGGGGGCGCGCCTCGGCGAGAAGAAGCGGAAAAAAACGGGAAAAGGAATTTAAATTGAATTTGGGAATTAAAAAGGGAAAATTAAATGCGAAAAGGCGAAAAGTTCGGCTCCAGAGGCCTCCGGAAAGGCGGAAACCGACTTGTTCAAGTCCGTGGCCAACGGGCATGCAGGACAGGTCGCAGCCCCAAAAGGGAGAAATTAATTCCGAAAAAAGGATCTGAAGGTGAAAAGAAATTAAATTGTTTTTGAATTTGCATTTAAATTCCTTTTTTCTTCTTTTTCCCCCTGAGCTGCTCGGATTTCGCCCGGCTGCGCGCGCGGAGTGCAGCGGCTGGAAAGTGCCGACGCGGGCCTTTTCTGCCGCGTTTTCGCGCGAAAAAGGTTTATTTCTGCAATTTAAATTAATTGGAGTTCTTTTTTTTCTTTTAAACTTCGCCGGGACTTCAAAGTGAAGAAGTTTCCGTCGCGGGAGGCGCGCGGTGTCGGGGTGTACGCGCAGACACCCGAAGTTGCGGCGCGCGCGGCGGCGCAGTTCGCCGGAAATCTGCGGATTAAAACCATTTTTTTCGATTTCTTTTGCAATTATTAGTTTCAAAATGATAAATGATGTGGATATTCCCGAGGAGGCGCAGAAAAAGCTCTCCAGATTCAGCTGCCTCCTCCACAATCTCGAAACCATGGAAATGCGAGTTGCTGCTCTCAAGAAAAAACTCAACACTCTCACCGACGCCAAGGAGGAGGCCGAGATTACCCTCGCAGACGACGACCTCTGGTTCCGCGTTGGTCAGCTGCTGCTGCTGCTGCTGCTGCTGCTGTTGCTGCTGCTGCTGCTGCTGCTGTTGTTGCTGCTGCTGTTGTTGCTGCTGCGGCTGCAGCAGCCATGTGTGCAGCGCCGGTGCCAGGCGAGTGCGGGCCTGCAGGCGATCAGCTGGGGAGCTGCTGCTGCTGCGACTACCCCTTGTGCTGCTGCTGCTGCTGCTGCTGCGGCTGCTGCTGCTGCTGCTGCTGCTGCTGCTGCTGCTTTTTGTTGCAGTTGAATGCATGCAATCATGAAGTGTGGTGGCTGCGTGGGAGTATCTTTGTTTGTTTGCTGCTGTTTTGTGGAGGAGTTTCTCCTTCAGCTGCTTGGCAGCTGGAGCAGCAGCAGCAGCAGCAGCAGCAGCTGCTGCTGCTGCTGCTGCTGCTGCTGCTTACATAAATCTGAGCTGCTGCTGGGTCTCTAGTGGTATATATCTGTTTATTATTTCAAATTTACAAATATTATTAAATGTTATTATTTGCATGCAAAGTATTTTATTTGTGGCACTTAATTAATAATATTTAACCGCTGCTGTTGCTGCTGCTGCTGTTGCTGCTGCTGCTGTTGCTGCTGCTGCTGCTGCTACGAGACGGGCTGGTTTGCTGCTGCCGCTGTCAGCCGGCTCGCTAGCTGCTGCTGCTGCTGCAGCAGGGCGTCTTTCGCTGCTGCTGCTGCAAGAAAGCCTCCTCCGCTGCTGCTGCTGCATTTGCTGCTGCTGCTGCTGCATTTGCTGCTGCTGCTGCTGCTGCTGCTGCTGCAGGAGAGTGTTACTTTTTGCGAGAAGCAGCAAGTGTTGAAGAGGCTTTGGAGGAAAACAAAAAAGAAATAAAAGAAGAAATGAAAAAGACAGAAGAAGAAATAAAAAAAAAATCCGAAGAAGCAGAAAAACTCAAAAAGGAACTCTACGCACAACTCGGAGACAAAGTTCGACTCGAACGCTAAACCCTAAACCCTAAACCCTAAACCCTAAACCCTAAACCCTAAGGGGAGGGAGGGGTGGCGGGGTGTTTTGGAAGGAGAAAACCCCTCAAGCTTTTGTTTTACTTTTACTTTTATTATTATTTTATTTTATTTACTATTATTTATTATTATTATTATTATTATTATTGTTAATTATTAGTATTATTATTATTATTATTTATTATTTATTATTATTTATTATTATTTTATTATTTTGTTTTTTTACTATTTTGTTATTTGCTTCGCTTTGCTGCGGGAGGAGGAGAGGCCCAAAGCAGCAGCAGCAGCACCGCAGCCAAACCCTAAACCCTAAACCCTAAACCCTAAACCCTCGAAGAAGAGCAGCTGCTTTGTGGCGGGCTGGAGAAAGACTGGCAGTCGCACTTCAGCTGCAGCTGCAGCAGCAACAGCAGCTGCAGCAGCAACAGCAGCTGCAGCAGCAACAGCAGCAAAAGTGGCTTCTTCGCTTCTTGTGGCTCTTTGAGGGGCTTTTAAGCAGCTCTTTTGAATTACTTCATCCCAAAGAAAAAACAAATAAAATAAAATAAAAAAAGAAATTAAAAAAACGAATAAAGTGAAATAAAACAAAACTTTCAGATAAGGAGGAGAGTTTCAAATCTGCTGCTGCTGCTGCTGCTGCAGCGGAGCTGTTGTTGCTGGCGGCCAGGCTGGCCACTGGACTTCGTGGATATTTTTGTTTGTTTTAAATAAAATATTTAATTTTGAATTAAAATAAATAAAAATAGAGTTTTAATTTTATTTATTTCTTTGTTTTGAGTTCATTTCAACTTATTCTGCAGCCCGTCGGCTGCTGCTGCGCATGCAGCGCCGCTGGGGGCTGCTGTGGGGCCCCGCGGGAGATTCGGAGCCGCTGAAGCTTCTTTTAAAAGGCTTTTCCGTTTAAATTAATTTAATTTAAAAAAAATAAACAAAAAAAGTCCTTTTGAGCTCCAAAGAAGGACTTTTGGCAGCTGCTGAGGCGGCAGCTTGGGGTGTCACTACACCTCCGTCGATGGCGGCGCCCCGGCGCTGCCGCTCTTCGCCATTTATTTCATTTTAATTTTCATTCCTTTCCACTTTTTCTTTTCCAAACTTTTATTTTCCATCCAAAACCCACCGTCTTCCTTCCCCAAGCCTCTCTGCCCGCCCCTTCCGAGCCCCCAGCAGCAGCAGCAGCAGCAGCGCAGCAGCAGCAGCAGCAGCAGCAGAATCTCCAGCAGCAGCAGCACCACTCCCACCAGCAGCATCCCCAGCATCACCAGACTCATCGCCGCGAGCAGCAGCACCCCCCCTCCCTCAGCAGCACCCCAGCAGCAGCAGCAGCCCCCCCAGCAGCAGCAGCAGCAGCAGCAGCAGCAGCAGCAGCAGCAGCAGCAGAAGATGGGTCGTTCGCAGCAGCGGAAGAAGAAGGGAAAGGAGCGCCTTGACCGCTACTACTTCCTGGCCAAAGAGCAGGGCTTTCGGGCCCGAAGTGCCTTCAAGCTTATTCAGCTGGCCCAGAAATATGACCTCTTCAGCAACTGCAGGTAGCTGCAGCAGCAGCAGCAGCAGCAGCAGCAGCAGCAGCAGCAGCAGCAGCAGCAGCAGCAGCAGCAGCAGCAGCAGCAGCAGCAG